TAGGGGTTTAGGCTTTAGGGCTTTGGGCTTAGGGCTTAGGGTTTAGGGTTTAGGGTATAGATCCTTATATGCTGAGAATGGAGGTTAAGTCGTGAAGGGCTTGCCCGTAAGGGTCCTGACACTTGTGGGGCCCTAGGACTTCTGAGAGATTTGGGCATAGGGGGTTCTTACGCACGGAGTTCATATGAAGGGGTTTGTACTTGTCAGGAGGTTGAGTAGTGAGCTGAGCAAAAGAGCGCTTTGCTATTCTTGTTCAGTTTGCAATCTTTTTTTTTGCAGTATGGCAAGGGTAGTTTCTAGTTGTAGAAGCAGAAATAATAGCCGTTGTCGGTTCACTGGGTGTCCTCTAGGCTTGAATCGAACACTCGGGCTGGATGAAGACTGCTGCAACTGGCAAGTGAACTCGAAGTTATTGAGAATGACTGTTACGGTTAGCACAAATTACTGCTGCTATCATGGTCACTCGTTCCACTGATATCCCAAACCCTGTACCCTAAACCCTAAACCCCAAACCCCTAAACCCTAAACCCTAAACCGTGGTTTTTGCAGCCACTTTTGATCGACTCGAGCTCCGGTGCGACGTTGGCTGGGCGCAGAGTTCTTGCAGAGCGGCCTTTGAATGGTTTCGTTTACCCTTACCCTCAAAGGACTCATATGCTAAGGCTCTTGGGCCCAAAGACCCTATTATATAAGGCTTTTTGGGCTAGTTTGATGCTAAGGGTTAAGGTTTAAGGTTTATAGGGCCTGTGGCCAGGAGACGATCCAGTACAATGCCTGCGATGAGAACAACTGGAGCGACAAGGTTGGCACAGTCTTAGCTTCCCATGAGTTTGGATTTTCTGGCTCTATTCCCAAATCTGTAGTGATAGGGTCTTCCCGAATAGCACGGCTGAGCTGCCGAACTTTGTTAGATGAGGGTCCGCTGCTGTGACAAGAGGCAACTCTTCGAGACGCCCCGCCCTCATCCTGAAACCGTACACCACACAAGCCCAACGAGCATCGCCGCATGGCGCGGCAAAGGATTGCCGCGACATCATCGCGGGATGCTTAGGCAGAAAACTTGCAAGTACAATACCGTACATCATGACCTGTCTTCCCAACCACTGCAAACCCGAATGAGGTTTACCAGTGCAAAATGCCAGAAACCTTGAAGCACTCTGGATACAAGCCTATAGAGCCCAAACACCCCAACCCGGTCTAGGAGTCGAGAGTCGAGGTCCTATACTATGTGTCTCTTAGAAGACCCAGAAAACCCAACACCCTAAACCCCTGGACCCTAAACCCTATAAACCCAAAAACACCCTAAACCAGAAGACCCAGAAAACCCAAAACCCCTAGACCCTAAACCCTATATGCCCAAAAAGCCCTAAAGCGCTGCTTTTCCTCGAAGGCGGTGGTCCAAGAGGCGGGCGGCGCGACCTACTCGGCAGCGTCGGCTTGTGGTCAGCTCCATCAGTCCTATCAGGCGGGATAGGGCATCTTCAGGGGAGAAAACCCATAGGCCAAGAGTAGTTGTTCCAACATTGGGTTCATATTTAGAATCCCAAAAGGTACTATGGGGCCTATGGGTAGGGTTGCAATGGGGGTCTCAAGGGTTTGAGGGTTTAGGCTATATGGGGTTTAGGCAGGGGTTGTGTTGTGTCGCTCTTTCCATTACCCACTACACAGCGTGTTCGGCCCCTTTTTTTCATAGCGGGTTTCCTCGCAGTTTTCACAGCTATATGGCAACAGGGTTTCGTGGCGGTCGAGGAACGTCAGTATCGAACGATCAATAAAGTGCAAATGGAATTGAGTCTGAATGATTACGTGCCTTTCTGAAGCCTTCTGGGGGTTCGAAGGCCTGTCTCCTCCACGTATCATCCTGAGCCTCTGGCTGAGGGCCATGGAAGCGATCGAGGTCCGAATCGATCCCTCTGGGTTCAAGGGCTTCTGCTGCTACAGCTTGCGGCCCATCGGCAAGGGAGAGGTCTTCTTCCGGGAGGAGCCGCTGCTAACCTGGCAGCCATCGGCTGCGAGTCCCCTGGAAGCCCTCGCGGCCGCCCTGGGAACCGGAGCCCTGCAAACTGCTGGGCTCGCTCTGAAGAAGAAGCAGGCTGTAGCGGCCTGGCAGCGCGCTTCGACGGAGGTGCAGCGGCAGTGCCTCTCCCTGCAGACCGCACCGTGCCCTAGTTCGGGAGCTGCTTTGGCCATGCAGATCAAAGCAGCCAGTGACCACCTCCTTGCGGGCTTCGGAGCGGTTCAGGCCAGTGAGGTGGAGGCAGTGGTTGGAGCCTGCGTCGTTAACTGCTATCATTTCGAGCCTGGAGAAACCGAGGCGCTTTTTCTGAAGGGATCCCGTTTCGAGCACAGCTGTGCCCCCAATGCTTCCTTCCTACCGCAGCAAACTGAAGAGTCCGTTCTTGTAGGGAGCTGGCGGGCACTTCGGATTATCGAAGAAGGTGAGGCCGTGGCGGTGTCCTACTTGCTGCCGGAGGAGCTCCGATGGTCTTACAGTGCCCGCCGCGAAGCGCTGCGCCAGCGTTTCGGCTTCCGCTGCGCATGTGCTCGCTGCTGCACCGAAGACATATGCCTGGATGACATGGACTGAGGACGGCCCCATGTGGCTGAAGCTGTGGCAGCAGAGATGCTTTCAGTCAGCCATGGGTTTCTGCGACCCGGTCCACTGCTAGCAGCCGAAATGGCTGACATCATGAGCCCTGCGGAGACGGCCCAGTTGCTTTTGCACTGCTGGGCTTGCCAAGCTTGTGCCTGTCCGAACCAGCTTAGGGCTTTGAGTTTAGGGGTTTATCGACTACAGAGGCTCAGAACCACACCTGAAGCTTGCAACGCCCACGAGGAACCCTACATGGTCCATGGTTTTGTCCCATTCTCATGGCTGCCAGCAAGACATGAAAGCGTTTTACGCTGGCACGGAGATTGAAACCCAAGCGTCAGTTTAGGCCTTTCTGACCGGCTGAGCTCTGCTTTTCCGGGCTCGTCGGTCAGGATGTGCCTTTGCTTCAGTACACGCCCAATATGACGCATCGGTATCTGCCGAAGGCCCTGATGGTGGGTTTTGATGACAAGTTGCCTTGGGGCAGGGGACTGGCAAAACACAAAGGTACTGGCATATGAATCCAAAACAGTCTATACTATACCTCTAGTCTCCATTGTAGTTCCTTTGTTTGGTTAACCAATTTTTTGGTTAGGATCCTGTAATATAAGTTTGGTTAACCAAAAAGGGAACTACAATGGCGACTATTATAGGTACACCCCAGACTTCAGCACAGCTTTATGTCTATAGCACCCTTACATGCTCTCATGAAGATCAGCCCCAGCCGAGCCGAGCGATGCTGCCTATCCTTTTGCGTTTAATCCCTATAGACTCTGCGAAGCAAACGCTCGGGTGCCGGGAACTACCTACAGCCTCCATTGTAGTTCCTTTTTGTGGTTTAACCAGTTATATCCTTAGGATCCTATAAGGTACCCCCAAAAGAGAACTACCATGAAAACTATCGGTTGAACCGATTATATATATATATATATGTGGGGGGTGTGACCATATATATATAGAGAGAGAGAGAGAGAGATAGGATCCAACTCGTAGAAGGTACCCAGGTACCCCCAAAACAGAACTACCACGGAGACTTAGTAACTGGGGTTATAAATGAGGTAACTATGCTTATAGTTATTATAGTTGCTTATAACCCCAATTAATACCCTACTTACTACGTCCCATGGTCCTCCAAGTATATGTAAAGTCCCATGTCTGGCTCCTTCCAGGATTACAGCTGCTCGCCAGAGGAGGACGCCCTCGCTGGCGGAAAGATGGCCTGTGATGTCGCCTCTTGGACATGCTTTCAGCTATAATATAGGGCCTCCTTAATAATTACCTATATTATTTAGAACAGGGTTTTGGGGGTTCCTTTAATTTAAAGGGTTCCTTGAAGGGTTCTATACAGGCTACTATAAGGGCTTAGGGTGTAAGGGCCTTAACAATTAGAATAGGGTTGTGGGGCCCATTATACCATAATGATATTCAGGACCCCCCCCATAGTGATATAGGTAATTCTTAAGGCCCCTACATTACCCTCAAAGGGCTCACAGCTTAAGGCTTTTGGGCCCAAAGACCCTATTATATAACTTAAGGCTTTCGGGCTATTTTGATGCTAAGTTGGGTTTGAATTAGAACCTGGAGGGTTTAGGGTTTAGGGACCATCGTCGAAAAATAGATGTGGGAGTCACAATCAAAGAAGGGGAATTAGAAGAATCGCAGGTGCCGGTGGTACGACAAGAATCGCAATGTGGAAGTTGGTTCGAGGCTTGCGCAGTCCCGGAATCGAAAAAAACACCCAGCTTTTCAGAACCCACCCGACCAAAGCTATCCTCAACAGTAGAAAGGAAGCATTTCTGATCTTAGAATGGTGGCTCCAACTCCGGTCCACTTAGTTCCTCCTGTCTTGAGGGTTTAGGATTTAGAGTTTAGGGTTTAGGGTTTAGGGCTCAGCCATGTAGTGCCGAAGCTGAGGACCCCAACATGGAGATGCGGGCCTACACGCAGGCTGCCGTCCTATTCGGGACCAAAAAAATAGGTTTAATCAATACAAACTGTTGAGACCTCTACCTGGCTGTGACTGCTAGAAGTTTGTTCTTGCCCTTGTTTTGTGGTGCCACTTCAGGGTCCAGCGCCAGCCACGCAAGACCACAACACCCAGTATGTTTTCCATTTATGAGTTCCCGCGGGCCCTGAACCCCGACAAGCAGACTAGCCCGGAAATTCAAAGTCAAAGGGATAGGTCTTATTATTCGTGTTCTTCTTCCTGTTATTCTGATTGTCATTGTTATCATTGGTAATTACTACTACTACTACTACTACTACTACTACTACTACTACTACTATTACTACTACGACGACGACGACGACTACTACTACTACTGCTACTACTACTACTTCTACTACTACGACCACCGTTATTACTAGTCTTACTCGAAAACCTGAAACCCTAAACCCCTAAACCCGTAAACCCCAAAACCCCTAAACCTTAAACCCTAAGCACCACAACCCCTACACCCCTAAACCCCAAAGCCCCGAAACGCTTAACCCCAGAACCCCTCAACCCCAAAACCCCGAAACCCTCAACCCCAAAACCCTAAACCCGTAAACCCTACTTCCCAACACCCCTAAGCCCCAAAACCCCTAAACCCCTTAACCCAAAAACCCAAAACCCCTAAACCCTTAACTCCAAAATCCCTAAACCGCAAAAACCCTAAACCCTTAACCCGAAACGGACTCTAAACCCCAAAACCCCTAAACCCTAAACTCGCCAGGCCGGCTGGTATGGAGCCCCGGCGAAGCTCTTCTGTGCGCCCAAGTCAAAGGTGCCCAAGGCCCCCAGGCCCGGCTCGGGCTTGCAAAACAAGGGCTGCAGTTTAGGATTTAGGGTTTAGAGGTTTAGGGTATAGGGGTTTAGGGTTTAGGGTTTAGGGTTTAGGGTTTAGAGGTTTAGGGCTTTGGGTTTAGGATGGTTATGGGGGTTTGAGGTTTAGGGTTTAGGGTTCAGGATTTAGGGTGTAGAGGTTTAGGGCTTAGGGTTTGGGGTTTATGGATGGTGATGGGGGTTTGAGGTTTAGGGTTTGAGGTTTAGGGTTTAGGGTTTTGGGTCATAACAGTTTAGGCATGCAGGGGCTCAACAAGAGCTAGAGGCATCAGCTAAGCCAGAAAGAGCTGATCATGCGAGGAATACACGCAATGCCTTAAGGACGACATGAACCCTAAAATGGGTTTAAGACTCATAGTCATATACCATATAGGGATTCATCGTCTAAGGGTATCGGGCCCATGCTTTTACGGGTCATCTCGTCCTTAAGGCAAGCCTCCATCACAACTCAAGCCTGTCGTTAAATCCATGTACAGTCCACACCTGAACCCTAAACCCTAAACCCTTACCCTCTAGACACTCTCCAGCGGCTCAATGCACAACCGTAAACAACACAAGGCGCCCCGAAACCCCACATCTAAAGCAATTGCTGCCTCGAGGTTCAGGGTCCTTCAGGGTTTAAGGTTTGGGCTTCGGATATCTAGAGGTTTAGGACCCAGAGACTCCAATACCCCGTAATTAGGGAATATACCTTAAATCATATTAGGGTTCCTACCATAATTTAAGGTATATTCCTTTAATCAAGGGGTATTGGAGTCTCTGGGGATTTAGGGTTCATAGGGTTATATATTGGGGTTTAGGGTTTTGGGGCTAAATCAGGGCTTATAGGGCTTTAGGGGTTGGGGTTTAGGGTTTAGGGTTTAGGGTTTAGGGTTTAGGGTTTAGGGTTTAGGGTTTAGGGTTTAGGGTTTAGGGTTTCGGGTATAGTTAGGGTTTGGGCAATGAAGGCCTCAACCCAAAGTGACCCTTCAACGACGCCCCAGCCTCCTCAGCGCGCGCCGGGCCAGAGCAAAGAAAACTCGATCAGATGATTTGTCAAGGCTCTGCAAGCCTTAAACCCTAAACCCTAAACCCGATCCTTCAAACCCAAGAAGCTTCATTCAGTATGATCTCTAATTTAAACAAGATTTGACAACAGATGCTTTCAAGCTTCTAATTTTGTATCCAAGGAAACCGACGGCGTAGACCCGTGGTGAGCCTACACAGCGTAAATTTGTCCGAGCTTGGACGTCACCTCATCCGGTTGCTGCAGAGTAGCTATCCTGGAATGTGAAATGCTCCTTGCAGTAGCTCCGAACATTCGGTAACCCTGCATCCTGACGTAGCAATGAGCTCGGGATATAACACAAAAGTCGGACAGATCTGTAGGGAATCACTCTGGTTTATGCTGCTCCAGCGCAGCTGATCAAACACCCGCTCCGCCTTGAACCGATGCTTCAGCCTCATGAAGCTGAGGGTCTACACAGGGTTATGGCTGGTTTCGGGGTTTAAGGTTTGGCCTGATAGTGAGAATTCTTAGTGTGAATTCTGGAGGAGTTAAGGGCTTAAGTTTAAGGTTGCGAGTTGAGGGTTTAGGGTTCAGGGGTTTAGGGGTTTATGGTTTAGGGCTTGGCTTCTAAATCCGTCTGCGACACTTGCACTGCCTCATGTGGTACAAGGCTCAGGGAGAGTAGCATACTCAACCTGGGCTGCTGCGCCCAAAATGAATCCGCAATGCTTAAGCGAGGGCCCAAATGAAAACTTTACCTGTCTCTAAGGGCCCATGTGTTCCCGTAAAACTACTCCCTGCACTCCCGAAATGAGAACTTTTATGGCCAAAGTATCTACTATATGAGTACATGGACCCTCAGTGTGTTCAGATATTGATCCAAGAGCTGCTGACGATTGTGACTTCTTAGCCTGTCATGTTAGACCAGAAAGTTCTTCAAGGGTTCCTTTAAGGCATGAAGGGCTCCAAAAGCCCTACCTATAGAACCCGTGCAAATGAACCCCTTAAGGGAGCCCTTAGCCCGATCCCTGCAAACCCTTTAAACAGGGAACGGTCAAAGATACAGCACCACAGCCCCAGACGGTTGATGATATACATCCTGCATTACCCATAATAAAACATATACCAGAATTCCCATAGTTTAGGGTCCTTAACAAGGTAATGCAGGAATAAGAAATATGCCATAATTCCCATAGTTTAGGGTGCTAAGGTAATGCAGGGTTTATATCTCCGGCTGAAGCGACCTTGGAACCATGAGCAAACACATATCTTGAATAATCGTTAAGGTTTAGGGTTTAGGGTTTAGGGTTTAGGGTTTAGGGTTTAGGGTTTAGGAGAGATCCACCGGATCCATTACGTAATGAAAAGATTTGTAAGAACACTAAAGCTACGTTTTTGGACGTACCTGCAACAAGTCTAGAAACTTCTGTAACAGGCTTGCGTGGGGATCCAGGTTTAGGATATGACACGCGACACCCCAAACTCACCTCCTTTTTTGCACCCCTACTGCGCCCCCATACAGCGATGCAGCAGTTGGAGCAAGTCTAATGCTTCGGAACACAGACGCCGCCGATTGCGAGACATGAAAGCCGTGGGTATTAGAGTGGGGTCCTGCGGTTTCAGGGCCATCCTTTACATAAGTTGCAACACCAGCAGGCCATCGAAGGCCTAGTATCGAACTTGACGGATACTATTGCATAGCATTGGGACTACAACAAGTTTGCCTTCACCTCGCTTGACGAATACATATTCGAACCTAAAGCAGTAAACCCTGATTACACCCTGAACATTTTAGGCTTGGAGGTGCAGGGTACAGGGGAAGTGTTGAATTCATGGCTCGTGGGGTTTAGAGAAGTTTAGGGTTCAGGTTTTGGGGTTTAGGCTAACCCTAAACCCTAAACCCTAAACCGGGTTTAGGCAAGTTTAGGGTTCAGGTTGCCGAGTTTTGGGACCAGGGCAATTTTCGGGTTGTAGGGTGTAGGGTTTACCTGTAACCGAACGGACCTACCTTATGAGGGTTCCTTATTATGGTTTCTGTATGTATATATATATATATATATGAATATACAGTTCCTGAAAAGCCCTAAACCCTAAACCCTAAATCCTTAACCCCAAACCCTGAATCCTAAAGCCTAAACCCTAAATCCTAAACCCTTAGCCCTAAACCCTAGATCCTAGACCATTAACCCTGAACCCTAAATAAATCCTAAACCCTAAACCTAAACCCTACACCCTAAACCCTGCACCTTGAACCCGGTTACAGTTAGGGTGTAGGGGATCTGGAGCCTGAGCCCCAATCCCAAGCTGAACACGAAAGAACTCAGAACAAGGTCTAGGGTTTAGGGGTTTAGGGGTTTAGGGGTTTAGGGGTTTAGGGGTTTAGGGTTTAGGGTTTAGGGTTTAGGGTTTTGGGGTTTAGGGGTTCGGGTTTTAGGGTTTAGGGGTTTGGGGTTCTGGGTTTAGGGAACTCCGGCAGCAGAACCAATTAAATCACTCAGGCAAGGCCAATATAGGGGGCTAAATAATTACCCACACTGGTTTTGGGGCTCCTTACTATGACGATGGTATACTTTACCCCAAAACCCTGTTCTTAAGTAGTAAGGCCCCTACATTATAACTTAAGATTAGCCCAGGAGATCTTCAGGTCTATGATTCGAGGATTTTCGAGCGGAAAACTGAAAGTCGGACGTGCTTGTTGGTGTCCGAAGTCGGACTACACGGTTAAGGGTTTAGGGGAGCCCTAAACCCTAAACCCTAAGCCCCTAAACCCTAAACCCTAAACCCTTTAGGGTACATCTCATCTTCTGAACACGGTGGTCCTCACTAGAAGCCCTCTGGACCCGTGATTACACAGTTCTTCTTTCTTGCCCCTCGGAACCTATGGTATGAAGGTTCAGGGTTTAGGGTTTAGGGTTTAGGGTTTAGGGATGGTGTGACAAGAACCGAAATGATCCCTAAGTAATGCAGACCCAGCAAGGCTAAGTCAGGGACTTCGACTTAGTGTTCTAGTGGTGCAGGCCTTTGTGGGCTCCAGCTTAGGGCCTTCCGGCCGAAAGCCCAAAGCTCCCTTTGGGGCCCATGTGCTCAATTAGTATATACTCTCGACCCAAAGTACTTATAGATGGACCACTTTAAGGCCTAAGTATATACTACTTGGGCACATGGACCTTTAGGGCTCTAGAAAATTCTACCCCCAAGCCACAAGCCCTGGAACCCAAAGCCCTGCAGCCCATGCACCCTGAAACGACAAGCACGAAACCCTGCCTGCAGCCCCCAAACTCAGTGACAAATGTAGGTTCTTAAGCTGTAACACTTCAGCTTAAGACAATACATAGCTTGTTGACGTTGGGACTCACTTCGATCCACAGGTGAAGCCTAATCCAGCAGCGTCAGCGGTATCTGCAGGCCACGAGGATGCTGAGGTGGAGGCCGGGCCAACGAGGAGCTTTCGAAAACCAGTACCTATAGGGGCCTTAATAATTAGAATAGGGCTTAGGGTTTAGGGCTTGTGGTTTTGGAGAAAATTAAGCTATAATCATAACAAGGAACCACCAAAATATTATTGGCAAATATTTACACCCCATATTTGAAAACGAGAACTAACTACTGCTGCTGCTTCATCTGCAAATTCTCGCACTCCCACCCCGCTTCTTTAGTCCCAACTCCCGCCACTATCTGATTGCTTCTTGTTGTACTACCACTACCACTACCGCTACACATACCATCACCATTGCTATTGCCACTACCTCTACCCCTACTACTCCTACTCATGCCTTCTCCTACTCCTACTCCCGTTTCTAGTCCTATTGCTACTACTCCTACTACTCCTACTCCTACTACTACTACGACGGCGACTACTACTACTACTACTACTACTACTACTGCTACTACTGCTATTGCTACTACTACTACTACTACTACTACTACTACTAGGACTACGACTACGGCGACGACGGCTACTACTAC